CAAAAAAGCGTTTCCTCAGCAAGAGAAATATAAAGATCCAAATTGAGGAGAGCGGAAAAGACGGCAAGCAGCTCGGAGTTCTTTGCGTGGTCCTGCAGTCGCGTGAACGGCGAATGGCAAAGAACGGGACAGCAAAGCCAAAATTGCAAACAAAAGATAAAATTAAATAAATTAATATTGAGCAAAAATAAAACAAACTGAAATTGTTGTGCACGACTTATCCTCTGAAATAAACCATTTAATTTAAGCAAATGCAAAAGACAAGCAACACAAGAGACCCGGCAGGTCGGCAGGCGCGGCAGGTCGAGGTGGTAAGAGATCTCTGTGGGTTGTTGCTGTCGCCTTGGTCTCGGGTTACGTCCCCCTTCTCATACAACTCAACGGTTATAAGCCAATTAAACAAATCATTTTACTTCCAATTAAATCTAGATCCATCTCCAAAAACGCCTTTTACGGGGGGATACAGCAGGAAGCCCCCCCTCTGCCTCCTGCTCATTGCGGGGGGTGCGGTGGCCCCCTTCCGCTGCTCTACGACTGGGCTTTTCTGCGCTGTGACGGCCTTCATGTGCCCTTTATCCGTGGATCGTGTTATGGCTTAGTGCCACATGCAGACAGCGCAAGCAGCGGCAATGGTGTATGGCAACTTCCTTGGTGTCTGCAGACGTCTCCAGAACCAGTGGCTTGGTTGTGGTGGCGGTCTGAGCGAAGGGTCGATGCTGGCGTTTGCACAGGTAATGAAGCATCATTTCTCCTCCCTAAACCAAAATAATAATTAATCAATATATTAAGTCTTTTAAATGCAAACAAAGACCGTGGATATGCCCCAGCTAGTCTCGAAAAAAAGTTGAACAGAAGTTCTGGGTCCTACGGTTCAGGGTTTAGGGTTTCGGGTTTTATGGTTTGGCAATTGAAACAGGATCTGAAGCCCGATCCGCCTGAAACTGTTTTTTGGATTTCTGCTGGAGTGCGGGCTGGTTGCTGACGGCCAATGAATGGGGTAGCATTTACCTGCAGTGTTAACCTATGCGGGTGAGTGGTGCGTGGATATGCATACATAGGACCGTCATGAGCTGCAGCAGAGTGAACATTTAAGACGAAAGTTTTAAAAAAAAACTGCTGATAATCTCCTGTCCAGTCTTTAAATACCCCAGGCCAGGAGGTACAATGGCCTGAGACTGATGTCGAGGGCGGGTGACCTCTAGCGAGTTGCAACAAACCCTGCTGCTGCCTCCTGCAGAGCGGTAGTAGATGACAGCCTATGCAACTGCCCTGATCTTCTTAGCTAGTTTGTTAAATTAAGATGTGTACTTCTTTTTTCCCTCAAAAGCATCTACTTCTTGCAGAGGAGCCGCCCGTACAACTCTGCGTCCTTGAGTTCAAGGCGGCGGTGCGGCGAGTAGAAGAAGCTGAATTTCAGAGTACTATTGAACAGAATGATGAATTATGTTCAAGGAACAAACAAAATATGACCAATAAAACACTTTTTATGAATATAATTGTACACAATATTGAAAAATAAATTGAAAGAAATTTCTCGACCCACATTGACTGCAGATAGACTTCCTATAACTCTGTTCTTGGGCAGCTTAGTTATACAAGACAAGGTATAAATATACGCTACTACTGCAACCATATATATATATATATATATATAAATGTGTATATATGTTATTCCTGAAGTCTTGAAACCTATTTTTGGGCAGCTTGAACACACTGTATTAGTGCAACAATATATATATATATATATATATATATATATATATATATATATATATATATATATATATATAT